TACTGATGACATAAGACAAAAATTTTTAAATTTGCATTCTAAAACATTTTTATAGTGGTAAGAGCATTTCAAAAACATCTTAGAAATTATTTAATAGAAATGACTAAGATTAAAGTGTTTAATTCATTTATATACGGAACAAATATTTGTTTGGAAAATGCATGTTTGGGGCCATCTCGTTAATGAGGTGGCATTGTGTTTAGAACTGAACACAGTCCCCATCCATTCTTTCAAATGGTGACCCTTTTTGTTTCTCTTATAGCTCCTCCAGACTTAATTTTCAGAGTTTTGACATAAATAAAAAAAACAACAACATTCTTTGGTAGATCATAATATCTTAAGCCACTCCTCAAAAGCAGAAGAATCGCTATCTGGAAAAATGTACAGTAATATGTACATTTCTTCTGCTCTTCATTTGATGCCGATACATTCACTGTTATACCGATGATACTGTATACTGTAAACTCTGCAGGTAAAATTTGAATAAAGCTAATGCTACTACAAAAAAATGGCATCCAAGGGAGGAAGCTTGGAGCTCTGAGGTTGTGAGTAAAACCCCCCAGTTTTTTGATGTTACATTGAAAAAAATTGAATATGTAACTAATGTTTCATAGGAAATGCTTCATTTTATTTCTTCCATGTAACAACTTCCCTGTATAATGGAAGTACTTATTTGTTTCGTGTTTAAAGGCTGAGAAAGGAACTAGAATTGGTATACGGAGGCCCTCAGCTGCTCATCATGCTACTGTTTGACCATGACGGCATGCTTACCCTCTGTTCTCCTTACTCTGACACACCGATCATCTGCCCTGGGGAAATCTGTCTTCAACACCAAGTTACTCCTGAAAAAAAAAAATAACGCCACCCACATGGTAGACAGCTAGGAGGAGAGGGACGAGAATGATGCCCCATGGCTTTTTCCATTTCTCTTTCCTCAGGTCTGGGCATGAGTTGCCAGTTGCCATCTAGTTATAAAGAGGCTTGATTTAAAACATTTTATTTTCTATTCTCAGATTGGGAATTTGTTTTCTATGAAGGTCATCATTATAGCAAAACTCAACTATATGATAGCAAAAATTTGGCTGGTCCATGAAGAACGTTGTAAAGAGAATCTACCCATGATCCTGAAAAATACTAGACTACTGCATATTCAGTTCCACAATTTTGTAATTTTAACAGGCTCTCCTGAGTGCCAAATCGCCAATCCAACTGACTATATGGAAACTTGCCATCAACATGCCTGCCTCTAACAAACTGATGCTGTTACTCTATGTTATCCAGCTCGGGCTTAGAGACTGAAGGCTAAAAAGCATGTTGAATTTTTATGGTAAAAAAGTGCATCAGGAGGGCAACTAACATACTAGGTTACCCTCCCAGGTTGACCCCTGTCCTTAGGTTTTTATTGCCTGAACTGGCACCAAAGAAACTCCTTGAAAATAACACATTCCTTGTCCATTCAGTGGTTAATGATGCTTTAAAAAAATCACAGTTTTGTGACTGTGACCTAAATTATGCCAGAAGCTGTAAAACCATGGTTTCTTTAAATTCAAATATGACCCACATGCTTTAAAACCACTACACTGACCCTATAGTACTGTTGGTGAGTGTGCGTGTCCTCACATAAACACACACAGACACACACTCACACACACACAAAACACTTGGCATTAAATGACTCGATAAAAGAAATGCTATTTTTCAGACTTCCATGTTAGAGAAAAGGCTCATGAAAGAGATGTAAGTGAGCTTTAAGCCAAACATTTGTTTGGCCTTGCTGCAGCAGGCTGTAGGAATGTAAACTTTTTTTTTTTTCAATGACTTCAGCTCCTAATTTGAAAGCTAGGATTTTTAGGAGTGAGCAAGAGACTATATTTGGCCAAAAAATTCTGCTGGCTTTACTTAGCCACTCTGCACATTCAAAACAATACTTCTTTATCAAAAAAACAATAGTCTGTTTTATTCACAGCACATGTAGAAGTTGGAACATCGACCAAATTCTACTTTCTTCTCTCGCAGTGTGTCTGTAACCAGCTAATGAGCTGCAACAGAGCCTGGCCTTCATTTTCAGCACATTAAGTTCATCCCTCATAGGAATTGTGGTCTGGCTGAGGCACCGCCCCTAGGTATGGGTGGGATTTGTTTCTTCTACCAGTGGTAGGTTAGCCACATGGGTACGTGCTGTCGCACCACACAACAAAATTTTCTCTATAATAACCACTCTAAGTAGCCTTTTGCCCCACAAAAGTAGATCCCATTTAATTTACTTTGTGTTTATAGCACTCCCTCTCAAACCACATATTGGCACAGACTGATATTTATACAACTTTTTATTTTAAACTATTTATTTAGAGTTGAGACTTCAGTAGCACTGCCTGTCAGATTCATTGAGCATGATTAAATTCAGGATGCTGAAAATGTAAATTGGGAAGAGTGATGTGTGTGCGTGGGATTTGTTTCTCCAGCGCGTGGACGCCCACACATCTCTTACTGAAGTAAAGGGAGGTTACACATGTGTTGATAAAATTTGTGATACAAATTGCTGATAGGAAACTTTATGTTGATGGATGATTAAAAATAATTGCTTTTGCCTATTGTGTCTCCATCTTTCTTTGATAATATAGTTGATCAAATCAGTTATGTATCATGCATCTAAAAATTTCTAATTCAGAAGTAGCAGTGTCATTAGGGATCTCTTTTTATACACAATGCAATATCTTTTACTCAGTTATTCTAATGGAAGTCTCTAGTCAAAGGCACTTGCCACAGAAGAAAAAGGAAACAAAGTTCTTGACTTTGTATTTGACCTCTGCTTTGGGGCCTCACCTGAGTTAGATTTTTATTAAAGAAAGTTCTGCAGTTCTTTAACTTTTAAACTGAGGGAAGGTATGTAAATTTCAAATCGAAATTTTACCACATAAAATGAAGTGGCATATGGTCAATTTTTTTACTTATGGTAGTCATTTCACACTGTTAATGATATTGAACCTTCATTTTCTATGAGTTCTGCATGTTGTTCATAAATCCCATAATATTTCATGATCTAAAAATACAAATAAAGCCTTGCTTGCATATTTGATCCTCTTATTTTCTTCTTTTGATGGACACCTATCCATTTTTTAAGAACTGGCTCATGTATTGCCTCTTCAGTGAAAAATGTCCCACTTTCTCAAAGCACAACATGGTTTTAGCATAGTGGGGTAATCTTTTGCGATATTAACCAATGCTCCTGTCCTCCCAGTATTTCCTGAAACCTCTATCTTTGCTCCTAACATTCAGGAGGCTAGGCTACTTCAGGGAAGGGACAAAAAATGTTTTTAAAACAAGTGGTAATAAAGAAGTCAACTTCTTTGTTTTTGTAACTCAAAATTAAGGTCCCAATTTAGAAAACTGATTTGAAAGAATAAGGGGAAGTTTCTGTTGTGCTTCACTCAGCCCAGAGTAGGTAAAGATTTCATGGGTCCTGGGAACGGGAGAGACTTGAGAAGGGAATAAGGGAGCTTAGATGCTGGGACAGTCCCTCAGAAGGGATGCACTGTCTGCCCCTGGAGCGCTAGAAGAGCTGAGAAGTGCTGGGACGAGGAGGATGTCCCCAAGTCACCACAGAAGAGATGGGGGCATCCCCATAGTCTAGAGAGAAGGAACGATGCAGTGAGGACTAGATTCCTTCCCCATCTCCTCTGCAGACAGCCTGGCACTTCTTAAGCCCCTGGAACTTAGAGACAACCCAGAAAAGAGGAGACTAGAGGAGGCCCTATTTTTGCCGCTGTGTGAGTGGGGGCTTCAATTAAAAAATAAATTGTTATGAAAAAAAAATTATACAGTTTTTTTTCACATCTGAGTTTGGCGGCTCCAGGTTTGTATGCATCAGAAGGAACTATGCCTTCCTTCTTGTCATACTCCTGTGACAGAATATGTGACACATAGTAGGAACAGTTGGTAACAGAATGAATCAATATTGTAGAGCCGGAGTTGCATGCCAGCTGCTCCATATCTTTGATCTGGTTTCTCTGTTGGGTCAGGAAAAAAAAAAAAAGTCCTGCCTTATTTTTGCCTGCTGCATGTCAGCTTGGTCTGTTTACTCCTATGGTTTCCTGAATTCCAAAACAATGTGGCATTGCCTGAAATTACACTTCAGTGTTTTCTGGATCATTTCTGCTGCCCACCCTACTTGCAGTGGCTCCACTTCAGTTCCTTGAACCCCAGCTGCTGTGATAGCTCGCTGTCACTAAACTCTCCGTGCGTCCACCCCAGAGGAGTTAAGACCACATCAGTGCTGGGGAACTGGCTGTCTTCCAGAGCTGCACTGTGGGTCATTCTGTTTCATGCTTTGGTGAGGTCTATTTTCTCCATGGCCTTTCAGTGGGGAGAGGGACCTGGGATAGGGCAGAGCCTGGAAAATAGAAACAGAATGCCCAGCGTGGGTGTAAAATGTCCCCTTTCCCCCTTGAGTGGAGGAGATCTGTTCAGAGGATGGTCCACTTACACATTCCCTTCTAGGCGATTGTTATTCTCTTTTTTTGGTTGCTGTTGTTTGTTTGTTTCTGACACCTGTAAACCAGATGGGATACCCACTGCCACTGACATACTGAGGCGTGTTGGATGAGATGGGGGCTCTTCTGTTTTTCTCTCAGCCCTTGTAAAGGCAGCTGCCGTTTCCATCACGCACTGTTTAGACCTCAGTATCCACGTCTTCTAAGTCACATCTGTGTGATCCAAAATGTCCTCAAGCATTTTTAAACTTCAATACACTAAGGACCAATGTCACTTTGATGCCTTTTACACATAAGTTTAAAACATGGAAGAAAGTGTAAACTGCCCCCCCCACTCCTATTTTTTTCCTGTATCAGTTCATGTAGTGATGGTTACAAGTAGCAAATCATCCAATTCAAGTTGGCTTAACAGGAATGTGAGGGCCTCTGAACTGAACGGTGGTGTAGTGTAGGTGGTTCCATTTTGTCAAGAAAACTTGATTATTTCTATTTTTGCACTCTGCCTTCTAGAGCCTTCCTTGTGGTCACACGATGACTGCCAGCAGCTGACACCAGGGCTGCCTGATTTCTTGTCCATGTGCTGCAGAACTATGGGATCCACTCAGGAACCTCCTTTCCCAGAAATCCTCGGCACATATATCCTTAAATCATATTTGCACAACTTTTGAGACACATCGTATACATACAACATGTCACTTTCCTCCTCCTTCATTTACCACCTCTACCATCTGTTTGGTTAAAGTAGATAAAAAGGGACGAGGATCTTATAACATATCAAAATGGGCCTGGATGAGACTGCAATGAAGAATATACTCTCGGTGCCACAGGCTCCAGCTGCTGGCAATTAATCACTCTCACTTAATTAATCAATCAATTGAAGCTGATTGGGGTTATGAAAAGAGTTTAGTGAAACTGTGTTGAAGCTCCAGTACTGATGTTTGTTAACAAGACTGGTACTCCCAGACAATTGGTTTCACCTCTCAGAAACCCAGTTTTCTTGTGAGAATCGAATGAGATGCATGTAAAAGCACACATGTTTACATTCTACAAATGTCAAGTATTATTATTATTATTATTATTCCTGTTTTAAATAAAATAGACTGGTCTTCATTATAAAAGATCTACATTGAAAGGTTTTGTAGTGTATCAGAGTCTATTAAAAATAAAAGTTTATAGACACTTTCAAATGGGCAAAACACTCTGCTAGATGCAAGGAATATGGTGTGCAAAAATAAATGTGAATGTTAAGAGAAGATGAAATAAGAAAATTAATATAAGGTGTTATAGGAAATTGAGTTGCATCTTCCAGGGCATACCTAGAAAATTCACTTTTTATCCTTGAGTAACCACCTCGTATTCCCCTGTGTATTCTCATCTGAGCAAGTAAAAGAAAATTTGGCTAGCTACAGATTTAAATAAACTAGAGTCCAGTTAATTGAGTTTCTGATATATATGTTTTATGTTAAGAAACTTGTATGCTTAGTATTTTTTGATTTATAGCTAATGTTGCAGTATATATTAATTACTACATCAACTTTTTAAAAATTAGAATTTTTCAGCACTTCCTTAGAAAAACTTCTTATTCTGTAACTAATTTCAAAATATTGAAACATGAATGGTAAATGTAAAGTTAATTGTTTTAAATTTTTGAATTATTACTACCAAAACCAAAACCTCTTTTTCCACTTGAACTGCCATAAATCTGTTAAATTTAGACCTTAGCTGAGCAATGGTCTATTTCAGATTCTTCTAATAGTTCTCCTTGCTCCTTTTGCTTTGTTTTATCCAAATTTATTTTAATTGATATATGTCATGTATTTCAACATTTTAAGTGTTTCATACTGTTTATGGAAGTTACAGAAACAGAAGAAGAAAGATATGGAGGGAGAGAGAAAGGCAGGTAGGAAAAAAACTAGAGAGGGACTTGGAAAAAGGAATGACCAACTCAGAGCTGAGGGAATCTGATGAGAGACAGGTAGTTGGTTAGAAGGTGCAAGTGTCAAAGAGAAGAAATGAGATCCAGACAGAAGTTTATAGCAGTGAGAGAGGAGATGAGGGGTAAGTGAAAAGTAGACTGTCAGTGATGCTGAATGTTTGAACCTGCCTGATCTCAGAAAGGTTAGGAACATTGGGTGGGGAGGGTATGGAGGTAACGGTGCCAGACACTGTGCTAGCCAATTTACAGAAAACCCTTCACTTCACATAAAGCATCTTATTTAATTCTGCGAATAACTGTGCCAGGTATTAGTATTCCTTTTTCACAGATGAGTAAACGAAGGGAGAGCAAGCTTTTTGTTTTGTTTTGTTTTTTTAAACTGGTAATTCTGACTAATACATACACAGAAAAACCAAAAAGGAAACCCAAGTGGCTCCTTGGTTAGTTTGATTCACATGGTCATTGAGTGTGGACAATTCAGGTCAAAAAAGGCCACCCCACTTTCCTCACCAAATACCAAATTGTGATTGTGTATGTGTGTAAGAATGTGTGTTTGCAGAGAGAAATATTTTTACTACAGTAACTTTCTTCTTTGTGTTCGTTATATAATATTGACTTCACTCACACAGCAACTTGATTGTGTGTGGAAAATGTAGCTCCATTATTTTGTCTATAACTACGCTGGCTCTCTTATAAACGTAAAGGCCTATGTGGTTTAAAATTCAGTCCACTCCAGTAATTAAAACCATTCCTTTAGGTAATGCTGCACCTTTAGGAAAACATGCTTTGTCTCCCAGGCTTCTCAACCTTCTGTCTACTCCTCAGCGCCCTTTTCCAGTTGGTGTCCCAGTGTGTGGTGGAGCAGTGATGCTTTCTAGTCTAGGAGTGGTGGGGAAGAGCTGGCATCTTCGAGTGTGGAGTCCTCCTGATCCTCTCGTTTTCAGGGTGATGTTCCTTTGTCTGTTGTCTTGCTGGTACTCACAGCTGATGTGAACACCTTTTATCTTGGCTTGGTTGACTCACCCTCACCTTGGCTTTCTCTGCTTTACTCCCTATGTGGCTCCCTGGATGAAAGCCCAAATCCTGCCACTACCATAGCGGCACCTTGCATGCTAGCTCTCAACTCAGCTGTCAGTTCCCCATGGGATAGGGGTGGGATGCTGTGGGAACACCTGGTTTCTATGCAGGAGTTTAGGAAAGCCATTCATCAAAGCTAATAGATCAGCTCCCAGGAGGTCGATGCGGACATTCCCCAGGTGTGGGACAATTTGAGTTTTAGTCAGATATGGAATTTGAGGTTGTTCTTCCCTTGGGTTTCCTGCCCCTTACCATGAAGAAGAGTGAAAGCCAGAAAGAGAAATTGGGAGGCAATATCTGATTGCTTTCCGTACTCTAATGTCTTCAGTCCCCAGAAACAGAAGGGGCGGCCTTTGCTCCCCTTCCTCTCTGTCCTAAGTTCTTCTACCAGAAAACAGCCAGCCATATGGCGTGGACAGTTCGTAGGCGGGAGGTAATTTTTCTTTATCATGAGAATTCTAGATCTAGTCCTTCAGGCCTAGTCCTTGAAATGTTAAGTAGGAACTAAAAGAATTTAGCAAATCCATTTATTCTCCAGAAAGCCTTGCTCTCAAACTAAATTTTGATCCTTTCCTGATCTAGGGTAATAAGTTTTCTGGCTCTGCCTTGAGGTGGGAAACTGCAAAGAAATGTGATTTAGAGAATGTCGTGAAATACATTGGTTTAATATTTGCAAAATACCACTCATCGTACAGTTACACAGACGCAGACAAAAGTCAAGAAGTATAGCTAAATGCGTGCATACACTGTCTAGCTTCACGTAAAATTAACACAGAATCACTTTCTAATCCATTTTGTCTAGCAAGTAAGAAAGCTGGAGAGCTGATTTTACTGTGAACTAAAAGTGAATAAAAACTAGTAGTATATTTAGAATACAGCCTATTAAAAATAATTATAGCCATTGTGACAAAACAAAACAAAAAAACACAACACACACACACAACACACACACACAAAACTGGACAAACACTTTTATCAATAAATAATGAATTAACAAAAAGGTAACTTTTACAGTGTAACTTTCCTGAGCTGTTTTTAAACTGGTATTTCTCGAGATTGTTTTCTAAGCATTTTGTCAGGAAAAAAGCTTTAGTAAATTTCATTTTATGAATGTTACAGTTTAGAGTTCTGTTTTATGTGATGGCAAGATAAGCTCACTTCTTTTATACTTTCTTCCCCATTAGATTTCACTACTTATAGCAGGTTTTGTAAATAGAGATGAAAATTAAATTAGCATGAAAAGTGTACCTAGAAAATCATGTGAATTCTTTAACGAAGGCTCTACATTTGTTTTACCGAAAGGGATTTTGTGTGTGTGTGTGTGTGTGTGTGTGTGTGTGTGTGTGTGTGTGCGTGCATGTGTGTGTATGGTGCAAACTGATAATTAGAAGTATTGAATTAGATAGTTGTACAAGAATAGTGGGAATTACCCACTACTGTCTGCATTTGGTATTCTGAGCCAACATTTTCCCCAAATTCCAAATTCATCATAAAAAGAAACGTCTAATGACCACATTTCCTAAAATCATCTTTGAAATTATGGACACATTTATTTGTGTTAATATGAGGTTTGCATTTGAATTTAGATGATGGCGCTGTGGATTGCTTTTGTGAATAATTTCATATAAGGGCAGTTTGTAAGCACAGATAAAGCCAAACGCAATTATAACATGAACCCTGTTCTTCCTCCTGTATGCACGGTACTGCATAAGTCTAGAACCTTTTTCTTTATCGCACTTGTCAAATCTTAATGTTTAAGAGTTTTTCATTCCAATATACATATAAAATGTATACATAATGGATGGAAGAATTATGGCAGTACTCTTTATTTCCTCCTCTTCAATAATTACACATTCATCTGTCACTCATAGAAAAGTGGAGGTCTCTAACTGCTTTAGTCTTGTTCCTTGGGAGATGCCGGTTTCCCTTTTTCTTACGAACTTAGAAGTATAGATGTAATGTAATGTTCTCACCCATGTAATATTATTATAGGCTTTTCTTCCTGTTGGTTTTGGTGACTTAATTATGAAAATAAAATGTTAAAAATGATTTTAAAAGATTTCTCCCTCTGCGTGCGGTAATTTAGGCAACACCTGTGGAATGCAATTTGGCTTGAGGAATTCAATACCTATTTTAATATTGGGCAGAGGAAGAAGCATATTTACATATGACGCTTATAATCACTTTAATTTGTCATGATTTCTGGAACATTTAAACAATATTTTTGGAAAAGAGGATCTTGTTGACTGTGCACACTATAGTAATTATTACTTTTAATGGAAGACATGTCTTAAACCTGAGCTTTCTAGCAACCATGCCTGGGCACTGATGACATTCTTTAACTCTCCCTACCCTTTGTGAGATAATATACAATTTAGTATCTAAAACTATAGTTATGTATCATTGTCAAAAACTTTTTCTTAAACATGTGAAAAATAATTTTTTTTCAAATAGTGATGCTTTCACTTCATAAAGATTTATCTGAAAAACAACACTAAAATGAAAATGAAGATCTCCTTTTTTATTTTTAAACTTATCCTTTTAGTGGCTTAAGAGGGAACTGGTTAACATGATTTTTAA